TATAATAATTAGTGTACAATAATCTTCCAAAAGACATTAGAGAACTGGGATCTCATACATTATTTAAAGGCAAACTTAAAATTGAGTGTGATTTAATATTTTTTTATAGAATGCTTAATATAATAGTAAAATTATTGTTTTTTTTTATAATTTTCGTGCCTGTTATAATATTACTGATCAATATTTTTTTTCGCGACATGTCATCTGACGTAGGTACTAACGGTATATCGCAAATAAATATTTTTTTCATTAGCCACCTAGCCACATTGGCATAATGTTCCTTTTCTGTTTATAGGCGCTGTATTATACCTATATAGGCGACAGTTACCACTTACCATCAAGTGTACCTACCTACCATCAGTTTTGTGCAAGCCAATTAAAAAAAAACTACGATCATATTCAAACTATTCTCTATTGCGTTCTGTTATATTCTTCTATAAAATCTATTTGTTGTGGTAGAGAGCACTCTACCTCGTCTATGCTTTTTTGATTTTCCATACAAAGTTTCATCTCCTCTTTTAACTCCTTATAACCCTTTTTTGTATTAAAAAGTAGCCTATGTTCTTTCTCAGGGTTTAGACTATCTGTGTACCGAATTTCATTTAAATAGGTTCAGTAGTTTTGGCTTGAAAGTGAGACAGACAGACAGAGTTACTTTCGCATTTATAATATTAGTAAGGATAAGAAAATGAGTTTGTTTTTATAATCCCGATGGGCTGCAGTGTGTAATAACCTATTTCCCCGTCCGACAGGCCCGCGGCGACGCCGGCGCTCCTCTCGCGGCAGCTCACGGAACTAATGGCGTCACGCTCACGGCGCCGCCGCTGCGCCTGCGCAGCTCCTGACATCTGCTAAGAGTTGGCAGCAGGATGTCGTGATTCAGATCACGCTGCTGTCTGGTTGCTGCACTTGTTATTTAAGTATAGTTAAGTATTTCTATCAATTGTCTAGTACAAATAACACAAGCTTCGCTTCACTTGGATGTAGATGGCGTTGTGTGCATTGTCCTAATATAATTATTATTTATACGAATAATAGGTTTGAAGCGTTTGTTTGTAATTTTCGCTAAATGTTCACTATAATGGTACTTACATAACAAAAATTAAAATATCTGTCGGTTCATGCTAATCTCTGATATGGCTAGACCGATTTCGATAATGCTTTATCAAGAGACAATTGTATTGTGTAACTGGTGGCCCATCTCCTTATTTGAAATTAAAAATAAATCTGTATTTTGTAATCATGTATACAAGTTCACTTGAATACGACAATAAGAGCGGAGTTTCTTGTTTTTCTCTTAGTTCGAAAGCATTCCTGTCTGTAGATTTGGTATATCGTAAGAGTCTGTAATATACCTATATTAATAAAGGTATTTTGAGTAATAAAGTATTTTTTCGTATGCTACATATATCCATGCTTACCAATATTATAAAATCAAAAAGGTTTATTAGTTTCCCTCATAGCATAACTTTCATCTAAAAAAATATACAAAGAAACTACTAATATCTTGGATATCTACACCAAAATACTTATTATTGTAATAAAATTAACCTATACTAAAATTTAGCTACATGTCTACTATATATTTATACATATAGGTATACCTACTAGGTATATTAAGTATAAATCCCTCAGTACATTTTTATAAATATAGAGATCGTATTGGTGCCAACGAGTTCATGAAAGTCTATTCATTAATTACCTAAAAAACTTTATTATTATTATTACATCTAATAATAATGAAATACTAAAATTGAGAGGCAAATGTCTTCTTTCTGTTCATTTGTTTATGCGATAGCGTTAAATGTAAAACCACAGATAACATAAAACTAAAAACAACTGTGGAATTGGAATGAAAATTTCAGAGAATATGTCGTAAAATATGTCACTACTATATAGACTAATTAAAGTTGAGTTATATACCCCCCTCCTATACATACCTAAATGAAACACAAAATATTCCCACTAATTAATTTAACAAAAAAAAGTTTAATGCTACCAATTAATTAATTAATTAATTAATTAATTAATCAAATAATGCACCCGTGGTAGGTATAGATATATTACATATACATTTATTGTTGTCTTCATCTACTGTTATAAATGTTATATGCGATATAAACATACCTACATGTAGTAGGTACGGGCGCCATCGAGTTGGTCGTTGATACCGCGAATAATTTAATGAAAAAATATATACTTACATTATTATAAGCATATATATAAGACATCGAGTGCGTCAGTTATTTTAGTTTGCGAACGCGTCTGTTTTGTTTCAGTTAACAAAAACATTTACATCGCATCATCACCGCGGTCTTTGAAGTGGCCACTAGCTGATGATTGCTTGACACATTTCCTCGTATCTGGCAATCATCTGACGTTAATATTTAAATTCTGTCCTGCCATGTTATATTAGGGTTGGCCATGTGGCGGGGATTCCCTAGATCCGTCCCAGTTGAGTAATCACGGCAATTTTGTGTAATATAAATCGTTATGCTGTACTTACTTTAAAGGCGATACAACATCCTTAGTCTAAAATATTTATGATACGTATTTACAGTTGAGTAATTACGATATTTTTTTGTTTATAATTAACTTATAGCTAAAAAGTAATACGGAATCCTAAATATAAAATGTTTATGTTTCATATTTACCCAATTCTTACTTACTCTTCCATAGTTAATAGCTACCAATGTGCTATAATTATCATATATGCATTTGTTTTATCTATAATAACATTGTAAATGTGGAAGTGTGTCTATCTGTTTACTTATTAATACTTATTATTTGTTACTTTTTACAGCTACTATTTAGCTGTAAAACTTAATAAATATTCAATTGACCGTAGATTATATTAAGAGGACAGACACGTGATATTTTGTTTCTCAGAATAACAAACGAAACAGCTACCTATTTGTATTTAAAACGAGGAATAAATGGGAATTATTTTAAAAACAAAACCAGCCCTATTCTTTCCGAAATAGGTACACTTGGTCTGACAGATTTATCAACGCACATATAACTAGAAACTTTAAAACATTGCAGAATAGTAGAGAAAAAGTTACTAAAATAAAATATTAATACTATTGCTAAAAATTTAACAACTCAGGTTGACTTTTTCCTGAACATCATCACAGTCAATGGTAGCTGACCTGATTTAGGGGCAGAAGATTCTTAATAATGAGAAATTTAGCCCTGTTATTAACAATGAAAAGCCCTAAAGTATCAGAAAAACTTCCACATGGTTCTATCTCGAAATTATTGTGGTTAATTTCTGGTGAGTTTGCCGTCTTCTCATTTTTGTTTCGAACTATTCTAATGTTGTTGGCTGCAGCTAGCCTTTACAGCTTTACCGAACGATAGGAGGCGAGTGCAGATGGCACTCAAAACCCGCGGAAGGACTTAACGGCTGAAGACCAACTCCTGCCTGACGGATACGCCTTCAGTCTGAGGATACCACTAGGGTTTCGAACCTCGGCTCAGGCCCTCGTAATGTCGACCCTAGTAGGATTGGATGGGGATCAATCGGGAGTAGAGATAAGTCAATCTTTGCTCACATTGTCTATAATTAAGAATGGACCTATATCTCAAAGTGCAATAAATACTATATATAAATAAAAACATAAGCCTACACAGCGCTTACCGTTCGCGTCGCTTAATGCAAAGTAATGTAACTGAACTTTTCCAGTTTTACATCATTGATGTATTTATTTAGATTACTAAAACAAAAAGTATTATAGAAACGTATCTATAGCTTAGTATTTTATTAAGTAATACCTGTAATATTGTACGCATTTGAGAAGATTGAATGAAGACAGGACATTTGTATTTTCTTTTATATGCCACGCGTAGAGTTATGATTTAATATACTTCATTAAACACTACTTATAGATAAATATTCATATACATAATAGACACTATTGTGTCTATTATGTATATGAATATTTATTTTTTATCTATTGATAAAATATAACAAAATATAGGTACTTGTTAGAGTAATACAAAATGACTCAGTGTGGAGAATTCCACAATTTTTCACAAAGTACCTAATACTAGACTATTAATTACTAAGATTGACATTTCAACACTAAAATCAGCTTAGAAATGACAACGAGATAATATAGTGAGAAAAATATCGAGTTGTAACTGTTTATTTACCTACCATAAAATTAATCTTGTTAAGATATGATTTAGTATATTAATAATGTGTAGAAATGACAAAACTATGCAAATAACTGGCGATATGAACGTATAACAAACGAAATATGTTGCAGACTCGCATATTATTACAATATGTTACATATAATTAATTTATAACACTGAACTAGTTAAATAAGAATCCATTAAGATTCCATTTTTGTGATTAATTGCTTGTTATCTTGATATTCATCACTATTTTTTAATTTGGCATTTGGCATTGGCGAAACGTTATAAAATCCTCACCTTAATTAAAAATTACAACCTACTAGTAACATAATAACGATTATAAAAATTAATTACAGTTGTATCTTCGCAATGTTTAATGATTACATTTGTGTACGACTGTTTTAATTTACAATTGTCCACTTTGACGCCCACCGTCCGGTCAATTAATTCAGTTATATCTAATGAATAGTTTCACAATTTGTTTCGATTCCTACACCTCTATATATGAGTATATTTGCTTTATACGCAATAATACAATTTTTATTTAGAATTCATAACGGGAATTTCATATTTGCGACAGTTGAATGAATAAATGAAAACTAATTGATTAAGGTGGAAAATTTCACTAAATTAATTATTTATATTAATTACTTATTTAAAAAAAGTGTATCTACGAATTGAAAAGAATATCATTTAAAATAAAAAAAAAAACAAGTAAATAATACATTAAGTAAAAGCGTTGAGTTAAATAAAAATTTATTCAAAATAAGTATTTTTAGTACAATACAGTATGTTGCAAATATTATTTGTTTACACTTGAAAGAAGTAGAGCACTGAATAAAATTAAAACTAACCTGAATCATGAATGCTTCTCTTTATTATCTGCCTCATAAATAAACATCAAACGGCACTGAGCTGAGCGTCACTTCACAGTTTACATATCACATCTAATCCTTCACATGTAAGTTTGTACGTCCGACACATAAATATATTCGTGATAATATCGCGTACACAGAGTAACGTTAACACGACCGCCTAACAGTCTGTGAGACCGGACACTGGGCTTCAGGCGCTGTAGAGCGGGATGAAAGATATGCGGGGGGACACATGCATGCTGAAGGATGCCAAAGGAATCGGGCAGATGCGACAGGACTCCGGAGAAAAGAGACGACTACACTGCGTGACATTTGAAAACTGTGTCTTTACAGCACCTTTTGGATAGACGATACAAAATATCTCTTGTCTGTATTGCCTCAGAGTTGATATTCATTTCTAGTATATGTAACTTACGTCATTATTTGAACTGGAAGCAAATGTCCTCTAATGTGTCGCGCAATTTGGAGCGGTAGCTTTAAAACTGTGCTAAATAGGGCCGAGTATTGCGCGCGCTCGTCTCGTCGCTTCGGTCGTCTGGGGGCAAAAGTGTGTGTCGCATTGTGTCGCTAGCAAAGCGGAGGCGCGGGCGTGCGAGTAGGACAGGTGCATGTGGGCCGTGGGGTGGGAGGAAGACAGGGAGGTGTCACCACGGCGCTTTTTAGGGTCCTAAGCCGGATAAGCACAAACAGCAGCACGATGCTGCGGATTTTGTTACGTGATTTGCGCAAAATGCGTAAATATAGCTATTTCAGTAACGGACTTTATAGAAGAATAGTTTTCGCATCTGTTCCATTGTTTAAATAAAATAATCTACTACATACATCTGTTTTAATTACATATTTATTTTTTAATAATACGCGTTAATTCAGACATGTTTATTTCTGATAATGTTTTAGATACAGATATTAGAATAAAGTATTATATTAGGTAGGTATAAATGTATTTTTAATAGCGTTATATCGCATTTACCTAATCCGCAATATTAGAGCCTGACCTGTAGACTCTGAGAGGTTAATAATGTTTTGTGGCTAGCCTGAGATAAATTTAGTAGCTACATAGCTATAGTATACAGATAGATAGACAGTTCGTACGATACCTGTATGACCAAGCCGTCTTAGGCTCGGTTATAACAACATGATTATAGGTAAGATATTTACTCATATGCCATCATTATAGCTTATGAGTTTATACGTAGCTTATCTATATGTAAGTATATAGAAATTTATAATATTAATAGGTAGTTTGTGTATATAAATTAGCGCTCAGTCTAAAACGTTTATGTAAAGAAAAAGTGAAGTATGTACAATGATGGAGTTATGGGATACCATTTTGTAGTATACGGTCCAAACGAGCTTACAGCTCACCTGATGGTAAACGACTACCGCCGCCCAGCAACCGCAACACTAGGAAAATTGGAAGTTCGTAGCCGGAAAATTCGAAGTTTTTAAGAAGGAATACGGTTTGTCCTTGAAGTTTTAAATATCGTATTGATTCGAAAATACCATTGATTGAAGGTTATTCTACAATGAAAATACACCTGTGCTATAGAGTTTAGGTAGGTAGGTACACATAATACCGTAAATATTCTATCTATGCAATTTTTTTTATTTTAAATAATTCTAATTCGAAATGAAATCGCATTTCAAATCAAGATCACAAACAAAAAAATATGAAAAAAAGGTAAACCTCATTTCGTCCATCAGAAACCCATTTAAAAATAATTTCTACTTTGTCACTTGTCATCACATCAATAATAAGTCAGGACCTACATACAAAAAATGACTTTCGTGCTCGAGTGGAGTTAGTCCGTTTTAGCACAATGTGGTAGCGCCACCAGACAATTATGATAATGTCATTGTAACAGCGGATTTGTCACTGTCGAGCCCCACAGGGCGCGCTTTGTCGGCCGATCGCGAACCGAAAAATCCTTTTATTGTTTTTTTTTTTATTTGGTAATGTCACTGGCCACCCACATAGGGATGTAAGTACGTGAAATGAGCTACGGGATTAGCGATTCATGTCCGTTTTTTAAGTAGGTATTCATTTAATATTATTAAAAAAAATGTAAGTATATATTTTTTTAATTTTATAATGTAAATTCAAAAACTTTCGCTTTGGTCACTTTATGATTTTTACACAGATAATAGTGTTAACTTTACGAACTATGAAATTAGTTAGTAATATATCCGTACGACGTTAAGACTCTACCTGTATATGGTAGAGTCTTAACCTAAGACCAATACTAGACAAATAGGTATTGGCTATCTTTTATCTTTACACTAATAATGAGTGCGTAGCGATTTCTATGTTGATTATCGCATGCCTCTTACTTGTTATACTGTAATTATTTATATTAAAAAAGATCTATTAAAAAGTGCAACACACAAGTTTCTTGCTCATTCTTCTTGTGATGAATCTGTATTCCGAATGAGTGGTAGAATCAAAATATGACTATTCAAAAGTGCTTATAATGAGTTTATTTGAATAAAGATTATTTCTATTTCTATTTCTTAAAAAATAGACGAAGTCGCAGGTAACAGTTAGTGTTTCAATAAATAAACAAGTTTGTATCGATATTTACTGTACGCATGATATTATTGTGTATAAGGACGTACTAATTACGTACAAGCGCATGTCAGAAATTCGTTTCCTCCAGTTAATAGGTAATGTGAGGGAAAAATGCAATTATAGAATTACTCTACGAAACTGGCAATTATATTGTTGTTTTATATTACATTGAGATAATAAGTACACAGATCATGTATACCTTTTAAAACTGCCATTATGTAGGTTTACCCATTAGGTAACATTTTTATACTTAGGGAAAAAATAGCAGACGTTAGAAGTATTTTTGTAATGATATCTTCTAGTACATACTTTTGTTAATGATACTTAATTGTACCAATGTGATGAGTCTGTAATTTTAAGAGAATAGAGTAGGGTAAGTTAGGGGTGAAGAACGGGGGGTAGTTTGTAATAAGTACTAGTTAGTAGGATGGGTCATGTGGATGACCTAACATAGTATTTGTTAACAATGGGGTCACACCCAATTACTGATCTCTCCTCCTCGTGAAATGATATTTTTTTCCTGTGGATGTTGATGGTATGGTGTACTCGCCTGCGCTGACAGTTTACGCTAGCAGGGCACCAGTGGATGATGACAAGATGAATATGAGGTCAGGTCCGGTTAGCCCATCGTGGTAATTCACCATGAATTTATCACGATGGTTTCCAGGGGGAACCACGTGGAGGTCAATCTGATAGTACATTGCTAGCAATGTGGTCATCAATGGTAATCCACATTACTAACAATCCTTTCCTCTCCCCACTTGAAATGATATTAGTACAGGTAAAACCACTAAACTCTCAATTTCCGCAGGATCAGGGGCAATATTTCAACTTTATAGTAGACACACCAACGGGACAGTCCATACTTTAAAGATTACTTACCTAATGTGATTTTAATAGTTCGATCAGTGTTGCCAAATTATGGTTTGGTATTACTCCTAAATGTGAAAAATTCCCCTAAAATTCAGGTTTAAAAGAAAAATGTCCATAAAAAGTCAATCAATGAGGCAGTCTTTATAAAATGTGTTTTTGTACTAAGATTTTTTTAGGTGGCGTGTTCTACACCACTATCTTTTTTTTTTATAATTCAACGAGTTCTTGACTTAGTTGACCATTATTATTGCATGCTCCATAATGTGTTTGTTTTATCCCTCAAGTTTGTGATCTTGTTATTTTTTAGTACATTAACGATCTATTATCCCTATACTATATCTTCCCAAATATTAGATAGTTCCTCCAAACATCTTTCTTGGGGGGAAAGGAGATTGTTGTATGCTAGATATAATCATCATCAAGATAATATAATAAGATCATCAGTCCACATTAGTATATGGACTGATGATCTTATATCTAGCAATGTACCATGTCAAGATGACCTCCATGGCTCCCCCTGGAAACCATAGTGATAAATTCTTGGTGAATTTGTCACGATGACCTACTGACGTGACCTCATGGTCACGTTATCATTCTCCACTGGTGCCCCGCCAGTATAAACCGTTAGCGCAGGCGGGTACACAATTCCATTATCATACATAAAAAATACATCTTTCGTCAGAGTTCAGAGTTTTCATCAAATGAGGGAAAACTTGTAACCTGGTATCACTGAGCTCGACATTCAGCGCCCACAATTGCCCACACATGTCATTTGTTACACAATTACTATTGTTTTCATATTTGACTGATGTGAGTGCGCTAATGTCTTCAGTTTATCGAGTATCATCCGATGAAGCTTTGATTACAGTTTTTGATCACAATATAATTTATGTAGATTGGTGATTTGTGAGTTTAATGAGATTATGTTTCTGTTTGCCTTCATTTAGTTTAATAAGTTTCTATTTAGGGTTATTTACAACTTTTGAGGGTATTATGACTAAAAAAATATGGGGGTTGGTAAGTTCATTGATATTCCATTTTTATAAATGAACTACGTTATAAAAATGAAATATGAATGAAATTTAGTATATATTTGAAAATCACGTGTCGAATTGAACCCTGCGAAACAATTGGATCGATTTTTATGAAATATTTGGTAGATATGAGAATCGATCATAGATTATTTTTTATATCCCTAGATATGATATACTTACATTATATACTTACCATATATGATAAGAATGGTGCTATCCAGAAATAAATAAAATGGCAAACATATGAGGATTGCTGGGTCAGAATTTTTACTGATAGGTAAAAAATAAATGTATAAATATATAATAGTAGTTATAAATATTTTTTATAAAAAAAAATTATTAACAAAGATATCTTTATCGCAACATCTGTGATCCGAATTAAAACGCGGCAAATTAGCTCGACTATCGTTTTCGAGATCGCACGACACGGACGGACACGCAATAAACTATATAACAATTCTTTTCCACCGACCCGACCCATAATACAAATGTAAAAAAAAACCGTCACCTGTCGTGTCATTTGGTTCCAATAAACATGCCGACAAAGAAAAAAACACAACTTACAGAAAACACAAAGTTTAGAAAAAAATGGAAACGCCGAAAAGTGGACTTATGACAGTTTGTCATTGCGATACAACGCAACTGTTTAAGGAAAAATAATTCGTATTTTATATGAGCAAAGAGTGTATTTTT